TTTTAATAGAGCTTGATTGCCAATTATATGGCAGTTAATTCCGCTTTTAGCTGTTCGGAAACTATTGAAACTTATATCAATAATATTAGTTGAGCAATGAAAGATATCGAGATTTCAAAACACCAAGTAAAAATTTACAACAATAATTGCCAAAAAATTGATCCAAACACTACGATATTTATGGCGGAACCGACGCGAGTTGTGAGAGATAAAGTGAAGACTCAAATGTGTAAAATAAAATTTTCATGTGCGTAATATATTGAAAATTATCAAACAAGAAAAAAAAAGAAAAAAAATCGAAACTTTTTGCAGAAAAGAAAACTAAAATTATTTATTGCACTATTTTCTATTATTCATTATTCTCAATTGAGAATAGAAAAATCACGACCATTATCGCGAGTTAGGCATCTTTTGAACATAATTGTGTTTCGAAAATTTCTGTTGAAAAGAAAATCAAAATTATTTACTTCCCAAAGAAACAATTCTTCTGCAAGAACTCGGTAATATTCTGCGAGTTTTGATTGCTAGATTCTACCCTCATGGATACAAGATCAAGTTAATTAAGAATTAAAAAGTGCCTTTTTCAATGTCTCTTTTTTTTTTTAAAAACAATTTTGCACATCTACCTAATTAGAAAGTCTGTCTGCATATAAATATGTAAATCTTCTTTATTTACGCCCTTCAGACACTTCTTTTTTTTTTAATTGATTTATAATTAGGAGTGTAATTTGCATCAAAAGACCCGCAGTTTTACTGCATGCTGGGAATGTCAACTTGGGAAACACAACTTAATCACCCGCATGATAATATCCCACATATATAGAGGAAAAGTCCGATAAATGGATGCTAAATAAATCTATACTTTTATTCTTAAAATGAGCTGAAATATAAATATGAATAATAATGGAGTAATAATTTATTTATTGATATATAACAATACAATGAAAAAACATGTTTTTTTTCTTTAAATAATATTTATTTCTATGAAAAGTAATGGGTCAGTTATCCAAATAGTTGTTATCTTGTGATGGAAAATGGTTCGATCTCTTGATCATTTTGTATGACTAATTCCATCTTTTGTTAATAAAATATAACTACTTACTCCGTGACCAAAAAGTTCTCATACAACTTTTGAAGCATGTTGAAGAAATTATACAAGTGTTGCCGTAGCCCCAATTTCTTTAAGGCAATTTAGTGTAAGATTTCTATAAACTATTGTATGCTTATTTGTTGTACTACTTATAATTTTCCTTTACCTTATGGTAGAATAAGAATTTAAAGAAATTGTTATAAATAAATTCATCAAAGTAGAATAGGCAAAGTAGAGTCATCAAAGTAAAGTTTTCAGAGACTTGAAAGCCCTGGGGTAGAAGAGATTTCATTTACATAACTTCTGTTCGAACAAAAGAGACTGTAAAAAGGGTCGATCAAAGGATACGACGAAACGGATGAAAGATCTGTTAGAATAGGGCAGTGTTTCCCAAACTTATGACTTTTGTGTACCCTTTCTAAATTTTTCGCAACGCTGTGTACCACTAATAAAAAATGAATGTATTTTTTTAAAAATATGTTTTTCTTTTTTGGTACAAAGTTTTGTTAATAAGTTTATTTGCATCAGTGAGAAGGATGATATTATTTTTGCTATGATAAAAAAAATTGCACGAAAGTTAAAAATCACAACTGGCTGTCGTCACCACTAATTATTGAATGTTAACTCTGCAAAAAATAGCCAATAGAAAAATACGTACTCGTAAATTTTCATGGCTAGCTTTGTTTTTAAATAAAACTTTTTAAAATTTTCGTTTGTTGCAAGATACTTCGCATAAGAACGAGTACCCCCGTTAAACTGTTCTCGTACCCCTGGGGGTACGCGTACCTCACTTTGGGAAACGCTGGAATAGGGGTTTCCAACTTACATAAGGCCGGGGGCCGCAATTAAAAACACCAGTCAAATGGCGGGCCGCAGCTTTATAAAAATTTTATATAGGACTCTTTTATGTTTGAAGGAACAAAAATATTACTGTCAGATTTTTATCAAGTTGTACAAAACAAAAGTATTGAATTACAAATTAAAACAAGAAGTAGATTTTTATCTGAGAAATAAATTTTTTGCACCGTTGGTATGTTAAATTTCTCAGAAAAGAAAAAATTGGGTTTTTTTTCTTTTAAACGAAGAAAAGTACTTTAAACCTACATAGATTTTTTGCGAAAATTGTCAGCAGAAAATGTCAACTAATATATTTTAGTTCGCGGGCCACAAAAAAAGGCTTCGTGGGCCGGATGTGGCCCACGGGCCGCCAGTTGGTACCCACTGTGTTAGAAAGATAGCCTGAGTGCTCAAAATATCGAGAACGGACTTTTAGAGTATGCTAAGATGAAAAGGAGGCAGACATAGGAAGAAATTCTTGCATGGCATGCAGAGGATGAGTTTTTCTTTTCAGGCGAAAAACTATTTGTATTACAGTAGAGTCGTAACTCCCAAAATGATAGAATATGGTCAATTTCTATTGACAACATCCCTGAGAGCCAACATCGTGTTCCGCGTTATCAAAATGCTTCGCCTGTGATCGTTTGGGGGAGGGGGGCTATTTCAAAAAGATGCTAATTCTCATTTTTCATTGAGACAGTTAAAATGAATGCCTAATATTATAAAAATGAGGTTTTGGATAAAGTTATATATTCAAGTGTCTTTTAGAGTATGTATGGCTGGAATATTTCTGTTTCCAAGAAGATGGTGCTCTTACTCATACCGCAGGTGTGGTTCAAGAGTGGTGCAGCAAACTTTTAGCTGACTTTTTGTTGAATGAATGGCCTCCCTACTCCCTGGATCTGAACACGATTGATTATTTTGTTTGGTCATACATACCCGCCCAACTTGATAATTATAAAATCACCAATCGGAACAAATTCAAAAGCATAATTCAAAAGATATGGCAGGAAATGCCGTTGGCACCCGTACGTACTGTGAGTGATGGATTTGAAAGTTCATTAAAAAAGTAAAAGGCGGTATTGTTCTGCAGCATTTATTGTAAAGATGCTTAATGATTGCTACTTTAATTTAATGCAAATAGTTTTCACAGGATTTATTCTGTATTGTAAAAAAAAATTGAAAGTGTATGAGAACTTTTTGGTCACCGTGTAGATCACTTCTGTATCTACCGATTTCGGCCAAAATTTTTCAGTGCTTTTTAGGATCGATGGAATTCAGTAACTCAACTGTATTTCATTTTCTCCATACTTTTATTTCAAGTTTATTTTAAATATTTTCGACACTTCAACAAAAATAAAGTGATTCCAAAATTCTGCAGATTTTTCAGATTTTCCTACCAAATCAGAGAGTAACTTTTAAACTCATATTAGAGCATGAAATGTTTAATGATATACTTTCCTTCATCAAAACGTCACAGCCTTTTGTGTATCTAGAAACTTAATTCAGGAGTACAAGCAATTAAATTACATGTTACTCGATTCATGAGTCAGAAATGCATGTTAATAACCCTTATTTGTCCAGGATTCCTCCATTGTAACCCTCGCGACGAGTATGCCTTTTCAGTTATTGAATTTTGTTAAAAACCTGGCGATAAGAGCTAGGGAAATCGCGAAAAACCCGGAAATAATAACTCTCCTTAGAAATTAAATCGAAAAACGTAGCTAATGTTTTGCAGAGAAATTATGCTTCTTAACAAGTTTCTGAAGACTACATCATTTTTTTTCTCCGCTTGCCATTATCAAAACTATATCTTACTACACCGTGAAAGGTTCTCCGCAGAATTTCGATCGCTAGCTTTTCGAAAAGTGATCAGAATTCGGATTTGTGATAAAATTTTGCTTACAGCATCGAAGAGAGGATTGTGACTTGCATTTTTATATAAGAGTTCCAATTCAGTTTTGAATAGACTTATTATTAGCCGGAAAGCTGTTGTAATTTGAATTGATGTTGAGTTGCCTTTAATGATAATATGGCGATAAATTTTGCTTGTAGAGACCTGGAAACATTGGAAACTTGCATCAATTAGGGATACTCTTGTGGAGATTTAAATGTTCTATAGTTTGTCGCAAAGTCATCGAAATTTATACTGCAATATCCTCCTCCCTTAAAAACGCAAGAAGATAGAATCAATAAAAATTTAACAATACTTAGGAGTTAAATAAATGAACGAAACATTAAGGTGATAACTTTTAAACCATTTTTTTGAATAAAGGCACATTTCCTTAATGGACGGCGAATTGTCATTTTCAACGTTTTCAGTGTCAAAAATCACAAATTATTCAGAATTTTTTTCCAACTGTATGTTTTTGTGCCTATTTTTATATTTTAATTAGCATTTATCATAAATTACCGTTTTTTTTGTTGCTTGTTCTGTTACTTGTAATCATGCCTATTAATTTTAGCAAATCATATCTTGCGTTTTTGCGTCTATTTTATATTTTAAATAACAGCTAGCATAAATAATCCTTTTTTTGCTTATTCTGTTACTTGTAATCATGCCCTTTATTATTAGCAAATTATCTGTAACTTGTTAAGAAATTGTCAACAGCAATTATCAAAACTTATTTACTGTTTATGAATGAAAAGAAAAAAAAAACTTTTTTTAGAAAGCAAGTCTTTTTCCCCCCCCCTATTTGAAATTAAAATATTAAAATAAGATATAGATATTGCATAAAGAAACTAAGGTATGGATTTGCATGTAAAAGTTTCATAATGGTAATATATAAGTTTAAAGGAATATTGTAATTTAAGAATGATGCAAAATTCAATTTTACAACATAGAAATATTGCTATTACAAAAAGAGTTCAATTTAATTTTACTTTGAGAGTTAGTTACAAAAGTTCCATTTAACTTGCAATTAAATTTAATTTTGTTTTTTCACAAGAAAATGTTTTAAATGCTAAAAGTAACATTACCTAAATTAAATAAAACAAATTTTTGTTTCAAGATATATTTTACCATAAAAAAAATGAAAACCAACCATAATGAAGTGGGTTTTTCTTTTCTTAGATGAGTATTCTTTGCAATTGAATGTTAAAATTCTGCCTTGTAAATCAAGATGCTGAGTTTGAGCATGGGCTCAAACATGTTCGAAGCAAGCCTTGTCTTCAACACTTGATTCCCAGAAATGGTTCGCCCCACTGGTGATGAATCAAGACAAGTTCCAATTGCTGAAGTGAAGCCTGGTAACTGGTCAAATAGCACTGATATCTCTCCCAAAGATGGCACAGTTACTTTGACAAAATCACAGTTTCAACAAATTTTGGAAGCCATCAGTCAGACTGCTGGTAGGTATTTAAAGTGTAACTTGATTTTAAAAAAAAAAAAAATTTTTTTTTAAACATTTGCATCAACTTTAGTACTGTTAAAATCTTGACTAATTTGAAATATTTTTCCGTAATGTTTATTTTGATCAGTTTTTATTTTTTTGTTTTGTTTATCAATAATGTTTAAAAGTATCAAATTATTTATTATTCAATGGTTAAAACATAAGTTAAAACTCGTTTCTAGAGAATACGTATTCAGAGTTAATCAAAAAATGGATTTAATTAATTTGTCAAGTGAATCTTTCCTTTATAAAAGTATTTGCTCATCACTCCACTTTATATTATTAAATTTTTCACATCGTCCCAATTCATATTTATTTTGAATATTTTCATTTTCTCTTATATTTCATACTTAAATTATAATACAGGGATGAGATTTTTCCGCTTCTTTCGCTATTGTTTCTCAAATTTCAGCCTAAAACTTCGATTCTCTAAAAGTTTCGTTTTTAAAATTTTTTTTTATAGATATTCCGCTTTTTCTGGAAATTCAGTTGTTCAAATAAAATAATTTTATCTATTTCCGATTTTTAAAGATAAACAGAAAATTCAAACTAGTACATAGCTGCCAACCCTTCCTCATTTTTACTTATTTTAGCTATTTTCTCCACTTATACAAGCAGAAAATAAGATTTTTCGTTATTTTTGCCCGCGATAGCTCGTATTTTCGTAATGCAGACGTCTCGCTGCGACCTGTTTGCTGGTGCGAAAGCAAACAAAATGATAAAAGAAAATAGCGGTGGATTTGCAGTGAAAATATTTATTTGCTTATTCAATTAATCTTGTAAATTTTTATTTATTATGGATGGCTAAACAAAAACAATACGAACAAGCCTTTTAGAAATCCCTAGTCCAGAATGTGCTAATATCTTGATTCCTATTCATGTGATTTTAATATCAAACATCGATTTTCATATTTACTTTATTTAAAAGTTGCGCTCCGGATATACCTCGCAAATGTATACCGGGCAGTGGCACTTGACCTTAAAAAAACATCAGTGTAGGATATACCGGTCAAATGTATACTGGGCATTGGCACTTAACCAGACCTAGTATGACTAGACCATGGGTCGCCAAACTTTTTTCATCATCGACCCCTATATAATTTTTCGAAATCTCCATCGACCCCCATTAAAGTAATTTCCCGTTAATTAAGATAAAACTCTAATAGATACTGTGCTTGTACATTTATTTTATGATTTGAACATTTATTAAAGTAATAGTACATTGTGTAACAATAGTTTTATGAAAAATATATTAATGTTGAAATTTAAATACCTAAATATTTATTAAATAATAAGTAATAATAAATAAGTAGAAATTATAAGTAAAGTAACTACAGATTTATTGCTTCTTAACCAATGAGATGAGTGTGCCTGGTGTTTTTTTGCAAGGTTCGCTATATTGGGTTCAAAATTGGTCAATTTTAATTTTAAATCCCCTCGTAACTCCACATTTAATTCATTTCTGTACTTAGTTAAGATTGAATTTACGTGACTGAAACCGGCTTCAACCATATAGGTACCTTGCATAAAAAGCTAGCATAAAAAGGCTGAGCTATTTCATAAAGTTCTACTTATTTTTGCATTATATTTATATTTGTTCAAAATTTACTTATTGTTAAACTTTTAAAAAGCGTCTTTGCTTCAAGATCGGATAATAATTCAGCAAACTCATTTTGCAGGTTGATGTCCACGTTTTTGATGATGCGTTTATTAATAAAGTTTAAGATGCGTTTATTAATCTATAAAGAAACTGATATTAAGTCAATTATAAAAAAAAATTCACAAATTTTACATACTCAATTAGATATTTGGATTTACGTATTAAGAACTGTTTTTTCTTCGACCCCCAATCAACCCTTTCGATTCAGATCGACCCCCTGCCTCAGATCGACCCCCACTTTAGTGAAATAGACCTCTGGGGGTCTATATAGACCACTTTGGTGACCTCTGGACTAGACCTTTGGTAAATGTCCAAAATATATACTAGGTCTAGTGCCACTTTTGCTATAGCTTAAATATTAAAAAAAAATTAAGCAAAGTGTTTGAATCAATTTTAAACTGATAACGAAATTATTGCTTTAAAATTAAAAATAATAATAATAAAAACTGCGCCAGATAAGAGTAATTGAAGTAGTTGCTTTATACAGCGCATGTGCGGAAAAATTTTTTTAAAAAAATTATCCAGGTGCATCTAAAAGTGGATGAATATCCCAAGACACCGGTTTCATATTCTCTCAATATAAAATCAGGTATTGCAATACTTATTCACACGATTTTAAAATCATGCATATAATTCATATCTATGTGATTCATATTCATACAATTTTAAAATTAATCATCAGGATTTAAAATCACATGGTTTAAAAATCGCACTTTTTTTTTGTCTAATTTTTGGATATCATAGCTTCTACATATTATGTATATATTCATTCTTGGATTTCCTCTTTTTTACTCTGACTACTCTCATCCCTGTTAATGCCTTATCTGATATGCCTTAACTCATAAATTTATTATTTTATAATATCTGTATTTATACAGATTTCCTATGGTATCTAGTAGTGAAAAATCTCAGACTTTTGTTTTATTTAATTGTCAGTATTTAGGTTTTAGTAATGCAAATTTGGGTTTGCCTTGAAGAAAGCTGATAGATATTTCTCAAGAAAAGAGAGAAAGAAAAAGAGTAGTTCTCTTTATGTAGAAGAAAAATGAAGCCTTTAAATATCTTTTAAAAAGCCTTTAAATTAAATACAATAAATTTTGTGTTTTCACGCATACATGTTTAGTACGTTTTCTCTATTTTGTTATAACACAGTATGAAATTGAAGTGACATAATTTCTTGCATTATGTAATGTTTATGAATATATTTTTTTCCAGTTATAAGTGGAAGTGAAAATCATTTTGATTCACAAGAAAACTCAGAAAATTTTTCATCAAAAGGAAATGAAGAAAATTCAAGCAGTGATTTAGAACTAAAGGAAAATTTGTACGGAAATGAAAAGTAATTTTTTCCCCCTCCTCCCATTGAAGTTTTAAAACCACATGTGTATTTAAGACTGTGTATCTGTACAGTGATCACCATCTCTTTTAAAATCTTTGTACCTTAAAATTTTTTCAGGCTCTCTAAAAATTCTATGATTTTCCATTTACTTTTAATAAAATTATAATCAATAATGCATTTTAGTATTTAAGTATTAGGCTTAAAAAATTAAGTGAAGCATTCCTGCAAGCTGCCTTATTCTCCAACAAAAATTATTACAACAGATTATAAAAAGTACTCTTTAAATAATTAGAATATTTGGAAATTTCAAAAGTTTTTAAATTTCAATAAAATTTAAGTTAATTTAAAAAAATTGCAAATTTGGAATCTTCATTATAAAAAAAAATCGAGGAATACATGTGTTGACTTCATAAAGCAACCTTGTCGAACTTCATGCACTCTTACTTGATAACCAAAAAAAAAAAAAAATTCAAATATGCTAATTAAATTGTGCTAATTATCAATTAAGTTACAGAATCAGACACATGGCATGTTTTTTCTGAATAAATGTTCCTTTTTTTCATTTTTTTCCTATATTTACATTTTTGTTATTCAGAATAAACTCCGATCTAGAAAATATGGTACCAATAGTTTAGTCCAGAGAGTGGTCGAAAATATGAAGCCCTTAATGTTAGTTAATTTTTATGTATTAAATATCAAATATTGCAGCAACTTTTTTAAACCAAATTAAAATTTTTTCATTACAATTATAAAATTCTATTATCCAAAGATAGTTTAATTTAAAAAATAATTTTTAATAATAATTTATTATTTTGACTAATAACAGAAAAAATGTTGAATTGTGAAATATATAAATTTTTACAACATTTCAACTATATCATTTAAAATAGCTCGGACAAACGTTAAATAGTTAGAACATATATCTAATAGTGTTAAAAAAATGTTATTTTTAAATTTTCATTTTTTTAAGAAGTATTTGAATGTTGTATTTGTTGCCATAAAAAATTTCATAGTTTAAAATGCAGTTGACATCTTAGATTAGAACTGAAAATTTTTTCACACAATTTTTAAATGAAATAATAAAAAGTAATAAATGAGCATTAAAAATTATTTTTATATGTAATTACCTTTGAGTTGATTATTTTTATAGTTACAGTGTGCAAAATTTTAGATTCACTAAAAAAGCTTTCAAAATGTAGTGAAATAGGCAAAAAGTGAAACTAACAATGAAATTAACTGGCCCAAATATTCGACTGCTACGCTGACTAAAGTATTGGGACCATATTTTCCAGGTGACTACTCACCATATTTTGATCGTCAAAAATTATTCCGTGACAAAAGGGTATGTTTATTCAGAGAAAGTACTTTTCTTGTCTGATTTCATAACGTAAAATAGTGAGGACTAATTATTATTTTTTTAAGATTAACTCCTATTCATTAACATTTGTTATTAGTAAATGAAAATTTTATTATTAGATCAAAAGTTATTCAGGATGATCTATGTATTTTTTCTTCTCTGAGTATCTCACTGGATTGTAATTGAGCTCATATAAACCTGACTCCTTAAATAAATAAAATTAAAAACGCATTTCTCCAGTGATTTTTTTTTCTCACAAAAATGTCAACTCTTTTTTTTTGTTTTGTTCAATGATTATAAAGCATAAAATTAAAACCAGATTAGTAAAAAATTGCTTTAAATCTTTCAGACAGTTGCAGTTTTTCTTGTAGTGTGTGATAAATTTGGTCACATTCTTTGTATAATACAAGCTTTAAAGCAATGGATAAATAAATAAAATTTCTATTATATCACCAAATAGAGTTTAAATTAAAGAGCATGGTTGAAAATATAATATGGGGTATACATTTTGTGCCACTGCTTACCTTGGGGCTAAGGTATGATATTCCAAAATTTATTTAATATCTAACTGCTGGTACTAAACTATTGCACTTTTTGCCACTTAAGATGTCAGAAGTGTTGCTCATTTATTGTTACTCTGCTAATTTATAGGGTAAGCCACAATCCCACATCACACAACAGAGGACCATGGCCCAAGCGGGATTCAACCCCCGCGACTATGACTTCGTAAGTCAGACACACTAACAACTCAGCCTCCTAACTGGCCTAACAAAAAAATAAAAAAATGTTAATCGAATATGGATGGAACAAATATGTTTTTAAATATCTTCCTGGTAACTGTTAGGTCTCAAGTTCTATTTCTGCTGATACTTCTAATTTTTTTGAATTGTGAAATGTTTTTATTTTTTTTTGTTTAAATAATATAAATTAAAAAGTTTTGAAATTTAGCTTATACCCTAAACTTTTTTCATCTGAAAAATGTTATGTCTTAACCCATCAGTCGTAATAGGGTAAGACTTATATTCATTCCTATGTTTTCAACCATTCTCTTAATTTCAGCTTGATTTGCTTCAGTGAGAATTTTACAGATTCTTACGTTGTTGTATTTTATTTCTAATTTTGTTGTATTTTATTTCTAATTATTTTGTAAATTATTTTGAGTAGCTTACCTGAAGCTTCAACAGAAACTACAAATAAGTTGCAAGTGCCTTGTCCTCTTGATGTCTTATCGTGTCCTACTTCCTTAAGTTGGTCTGCTCCACAATCTGAGGTATCACCGTCAAAATTATCTCCTCTCAGCAAAGTTGAGCAGAAACGTTTACAGTGGGAAAGAGAAAAAGGTAATGGTCACACAAGACATTTATTTCCTTCTTTAATTTTTTTTTTCTTTAGGAAACTTTGCTTAGATAAAGTTTTATTGTAGCTGAAATGCTCGAATGGAATCCATGGGGAAAACCTGGTGCTGGTGCACCCGTGAAAAAAACTCAGATTGTTTCACCCATAACTCCAAGAGCTAGTGGTCAGGTAAAATCAGAGTGTTTTCTAATGAAGTGCTGTGTTATCTTAATTTGTGAGTTAGCACTATTTAAACATTAATTGGATTTGTTAATTTTCTAGCTTTTGATGGTTCATACGTCCGGAGCTATGCCTTTCACCAGTTCTGTGCCTTCTTCTATACCTAGTTGTTTGCCATCCCCAAATTGTAGAATAGTACCTAATAATACTGATCACAATACATTCTTACCAAATAAATCTTTTGTGAATTACAGTTGCATCGCTCAACCAGTTAAGCCTGTTCCACCAGTTTTCAAAAGTTCTATTGCTTTTGGAGTAAGTATTATTATTTTCTTTTTCACAATTTATTAAAGATTGTAATTACTTCTGAGTTATTTTTTGTAAATCTATTAATGTAATTTTTAAAATTTTTTTTTGACTTACATTTTTAGTCCAAGCCAATTAGGAATTAGATTGACATTTTTTGACAACGTAACTTGTTTATTTTTTCTTATACAACTAAAGCAACAATTAATCAAATTAAAATATGTTTTCAATATTTTGTAGACATAGATAATATTAAATGATGTTAGGAATCATGTGCTCTAGCAGTCAATTGATTGTTGTATTAATGTTAATACCATTAATGTTGATATCATTTATATTACTAAAATTAAGCAGTATTATATACATTTTTGTAATCAAAATAAGGTATTGAGATATGAAAACTGCACGACAATTTATAATTTAACTGCTGGTCCATTTTATTATTCTTTAAGAGTAAAATCAAAGTTCAGCATTTCTTATGACTAGTTAAATTTGATTGAATAGTTTTAAATAAGTCTTTCATTTTTGCCAATTTTTTTTTAATTATTTGGTTTGTACTGAATAAAAATAGTGTTATTAAGTTTGCAATTAATGATCTGCAAATGTATAATAGTATTTTTGTTTATTGTATTCAGCAATAGCTGTATGACTCTTACATAATTACATCCACAAAAGCGAAAACAAAAAATTTTCTAAGCAGTTTCGCAAAATATTTGCGATGCATTTTTTACTTACATTATCTTATTCTATTTCGTAATTAAAATTTTATATTGGAATTTAAAACATTTATGTTATGAAAATGATTTATTTTAAATTAGTTAACTGTTAAACATTTTAGTCGTTCTTTGATTAAAAGTTAAAAATATTGTTATATTTGTTTTTATTTTCTTAATATTAAAATTGAAAGTTGTGTTTCAACTTAATGTATTCTCAAGAGAAAAATATTCATGTTGATTATTATTCTTTTTGTACCTTTCATTAGAATACAGATTCGGAATCCATAACAAGTGAATTTTATAGAAGGCAGCAGTGGCTGCGAGAAATAGGTAATTTTTATTAAATAATTAAAACTTATTTTTTATATATGACAATGTATTAATTCGCTTCAAAAAGTATAAAGCTGGAAAAAGTCAGCAAGTTTTGACTGCTCAAAAATATGCATCTATATTCAAGACTCACTAGATGTGAATTTGGAAAATAAAATAGGTTTGGAAAAGAAAGTGCAAAAATTCAGTTTTTCAGGTTTTGTATGTGGTCTAAACTTTAAAATAATATGAAATATTCTAATCTGAATATTACTTTCATTAATTTTATTTATAAATACTCTGATTTTAAGTAAAAGAAAAAAAGTAAAATTAAAAAAATTCTAAAGTTTAATTAAAGAATATAAAAGATTTGGACAATTTCTTTTCATAATACTATTAACACTTTATTGTTTTAAGATTTTATGTTTACCTTCAGATTTTTGATTAAATAATTAATATCTTTTTCATTTGCTTTATTATGTAGATAAGAAATTTTAAAAATAGTTTTTATTCATTTTATTTTCAAAATGTTTCATAATTTTGCAGCTTTTCAAATGAAGTTATAAGAAGTTGTTGAAGTTTGGAAAAAAAACAAGCAATTTTAATCTAAATTAAATTTGATTAAAAGTTTATTATTAAATTATGGAAATTTGTATTACAATTCTGTTAGCAGATGGTATTTCCTACTAGTACAATCAGTGAATCTTTTCTCATCAGACCTATAGCTTATTTTTTACCTGAACAAAAATTTCTTTCAAAACTTGCATTGAATAACATGCTAGAATGCCAGGTTTCTACAGTTGCTGTACTCTAAACTCAGTTAGGGTTTGAGTGAGGAGTTAATTGTGAATTTATTGATCTTTAACTCAAAGCAGTTAGTTTCTTTTTTTTCTTTATTTTTTTTAGTTATCTGCTTCAGTTAAAGTTAAAGAATACCAATTACAGTTAAAGAATACCAATTTTTAATCTTATTTTTTTGTAATTGATTTTTCTCACATTCTAAAATCTTAATTATTCATTATAGAAGAACAAAGACGCTTTCAGGAACAAATTCAAATGTCTCAAATGCAGGATTCTAATTGGTCTAATAAAGAGGAAACTGAAAGCATATCTGTTTCCATAGATGGTTCAGTCTTACCTGGAGCTGCTGATGCTTCAAAACGGTAAAATTTTTTTTGTCTGTTATGCGTATAAAATTGTTTTAAAAGCAATGCTTTCTAATAAACAAATACTGATAATAATTTAAAATTTTTATCAGCATTTTTGCTGTTTTTAATTTTGAACACATTGTATTTAGTTTTAACTTTTTTTAAAAGTTAATTTTCTTTGTCTTGGTTATATTTCTGTTTAAGTTAAATGAATGTTTAAAGACTTGGATACTTAACAGTTAATGTGTAAATACTTATTTCTACACAAAACTTTCTTGGAAAACAAATTTTTGATCTGAGGTTTGCCTTTTTAAAATAATACATCTGTAATTGATGTTTTAATACTTTATTCAGAGCTTGTTTTGAATTCATGAAATTCTGTTAAAAAGTTTGAGACAGCTTTAAGGATTTATTTCATGAATTTTTAAAGATTTTATCTTGCAATGCATATTTAATTACTTTATTTATTGTTTTAAAATTGAAGCTACCATTATCTGACTTAGAAATGTAGCTGACTGTTATGCATGCTATTGTAAATTAATGAATTATCTGTATATTGAGATTTTTCTTCTTGCCCTAGGGGTTGACCTTCTCCTGCCATTTTTGCTTTTGGTGACTGCTTCTATTGAGTTTTAACTTTTAAAAGTGTTGAGGTCTTTTTCAACACAATCAATCTCTGGGTGCGGTGGTGGCTCAGGGGATAGAACATTCGCCTCATAATGAGATGCACCGGGTTAGAATCCCAGCGATGTTTGAATACGCATCTGGTTTTCACCGATCATAGTGCTGACGTAAAATATCCCCAGTGGGTTAGTCTTCTTGTTCTCAAGCTAACCATGGCAGGTTTTCTAAGCTTTCCTCTATGTAATGCGAATGCGGGTTAGTTCCATCAAAAAGTCCTCCACGAAGGCAAATTTCTCCCACTACTTGATCCAAGAGTTCCCTTGTCTTCCAGAATCGGTTCAAAATTACAAGCTTATGGAGTTGAACATTGGTAGTCATAGTTCAACGCTGGTGATAAAATAAAATAAAATTTATAAGTTTGGGTCACATATGTTTTGTTTGTGACTGTTCAACAACGAGAATTTTGTTGGTTGTTCAGAGATGGCTATAAAATATAAAAATTCAATTTTTGGATGGGGGAATCTGGCCCTAGGTGTAATACCCATGGGCTTTGGTAGAAATATTTCAATAGGGTCTTGCATTCTGGCGTGATGACTAGTCAAATTTAGTCTTTAATTTGATTAATTTACTAATGGTTGTCTGTAGATTTTGTAAAGTTTTAAGTTAGATATTCGTTTGCATGATCTAATCAATTGTACCCCATCGAGTATGCTGCACAAAATCATTTTCTCAATTTTTAAAGCTTTCTCATCTTTGTTTTTAATTGCAAAATATTTTGACTTATTGTCTATATTTAAAGTTACTTTGATGTAATAAATGGCCAATATCTTTGTAAAATGAAATTATTTAAGTGTCTCTACTCTTGAACTATATAAATAAAAGTTAAAACAAAATGTAAAATTTTTTAAAATTACTTTCTCGTTTTAGAACTTATATGCGGGGTCAGGGATTTCAGTTAGATCCAGTTTCTGCTGCTCTTGCTGAGGAACGTCGAATGAAAGCTCAGGAATACCAACAAGCAATCAGACTTCAAATGGAAGAAAAGCAACAACGTGTTGAAATGGAAAGAGAAAGAAAAAAACTTGAAGAGGAAGCTGAAGAAAAGAGATTGCAAGCAGAGCGTGCTCGTATTCAGGCAGACTATGAAGAGGAACAGTTGAGAATAAAACAAAAAGCTGTAAATTTTATTTTTTTCTTGCTACTTTTTAACTACTTTATCAGAAATTAACAATTAGTTTTTAGATATTTTTTCTTATTTTTTTTAAATATAGTCTATTTGTTTCTGCAATATTTTTAGTTTATAATTTGTTGTTAATTTCAAAATGGCTGTTTTATTTCAAATTATGTATGCTTATCATGACATATTTATAAACCAGAAAAAGATTTAATATGTCATACTAAAGAGCAGAGGAAGTGTCTTTTAAAAATAATGTTTGATATTAATGTTTTTATAAATTTATTTTTATTTTTGGACAAATAAATGCGGGGTTATTCATAACTAAATAAATTTCTAGGCATGGCTGGTGTAAGGGCAGATGATCGTCCGGAATACTGGGGAAGTGGGGCTTCGAGCGAGACTCAGATTTAATGTTCTGTAAATTACTTATTTCCTCCTTTCTTAAAGTATTGTTTGCTTTAAAATATATATTTATTGGTTATTTTTTTCTTTATTATGTATTTTAGGTTAACTTTTTTTATGGTTAAAGTTTTCAGTAAGTAAAAGTTTTTCTAAAAATGGAAAGAATAGGGTGCAGCAGGAAAACAGTTGTTAGACATTGAATAGAATGAGTTTTGTATTTTCTGTATAGATTTAAGGTTCAGGAAACCATCCAACATGCAAGCTATGTTCTCAAAAGGTGAATGCTGCAGAAAAGCTAGGGGAGGAGTGACTTTGGAGAAACCATGAGTTCAAATTTGTGTCAATTGAGCCTGTGTGTCAAACACACTTTTAATATAATGTGAATTTGCTGATACAAATCTTAACATTTTATGTAGAAAATATTTCTATTTCATCCCAAAATGTTTTTCATCCAATAGATTTTTTTAAGATATTTGGGCTATTTAGAAACAAGACGTTAATTTCCAAGATAATTAGATAATTACCAAGCTCTTAGTAAATTTTAGGTTAACAACCAGAAACATGTATTTACTCTTACAATATTTTACATATTTTGTTCTTCAATATGTATTTAAAATAAATATTAAAGGATTTTTCTGGGAAACTGCAGTAAGAATTTTTTTTCCTCTAAAAATATTTTCTTATTGCAGGCATGATAACTTCTTTATTCATATAATTTATTATTGTTGTATTTAGCATGGCACATACATAGTTTATACATAGTTTTATATACCAATATTAGCCTGAGTAGAGAATATCTAATCTTTACCAAAAGTTATTTAATAGAAATAATAATTTAATATTACTATGAAGTCTATCCATTCTTTTAATAATGTGTTTTATACAAGGTTATTTTTAATTTATTTTAAGCGGTTATTTTTAAGTTAGTATATTTAATAAACAATTTATTAAGACATTGCTTGTCGCTTCATCATGAACAATTTTAGGTACAGCGAGTGAATAAAAAAAAATGGGGATTAAAAGGATACCAATCAATGGATCAGTCAGTAGGTGAATTAATACAAGTCAGCAATAAATAACAGTGAATTTATGGGTGAATCATTGAAGAACATTTTAATGAATGAATGAGTTTATAAATTTTAAAAATATTTATTAACCTATTAATTGTTTTACAGCAGTCGATAGCAAAAAATGTTTCCTTTTCAAAATGACTGCTTATTGTATGCAAATTACAATTTAGTGTTTATGCTTGTATATTTGTATGCCATTAAAGATTATGCTCATTAGGGGCTGTTCAAAAAGTACATACACAAAAATGGAGAAATTTTAACCCCCTCCCCCCTTCGTACATTACAGTACATAAGGTCTTACCCTCCCTTAGAGTATGTACATTTTATTAGTCTACCCCCCTTTTTCATAAAAATTAAAATAATTATGTTTTAAATAAAATTAAATATTTATTTAAGGAGTGTGTAGGAAAAAGTCAAATTTAAATTTGGTGTATGCTTATAATGTACATACTTTGTATAATACCTCCCCCCAACCATCGTAGAAAACCGTACAAAATAGCTAATCCCCTCCCCCCCTTCGGGATGCACGTACTTTTTGAATGGCCCCTTAACAATATTACCGAAAATAATTATTAATTCTAGAATACTTTAGGTGATATTCTCATTAATTAAACTAACTGTTTTCTTTTTTAACCTTGAATGCATTAATCGTAATTTATCTTATTCACATGTTTCCCAAATCAATGTTTAGGATTGATGTAGATTTTATAATTCTGATTGAAATAATGTAATTTAAAATGAAAAGGATTTCTCTACTGCATTGTGACTGCATCAGTGACTGCATCAGCAAGACAATTTAAGGATTTGAAAAAAAAATTTATTTCCCAAAACTGAGATAAGAGCGCCATTTTCAAATCGCATAGGGCGCGACGAAGTCTTCTGTCAGCACTGCTTCTAGGTGATACTTATGCACATTAGAATTGAAAATTGCATTACAGCACTCAACCCAAAATGTCTTTGTATGCTGTTAGTGTCTTTCCGTTATGGACCAGCTGTTCGTGAACATTTGTGCAAGTTCTTATATCTATCAAAATAAATGTAATATTTTTTAAAATTTTTATTTTAATCGATGGTTATTCAAAAATTGTGTTCAATTAATACTCATCAAATTGGTCCCCAAATCATTAAATTAGGATAAAACAGCTGCTTCTAGTTCTAATTTGAATGTAATTATTGACAAATAAATTATTAAAATTTTTATTAATTATAATTCAATTGATAATAAACAATTGCATGGAAGTATTTCTATGAATTTCTATCAATACTAAAATGTTTTATTGATTTTTTCCAGGAAATGGAAGAAAAGAAACACCAGGCTTTAGTTACTGCTGTTCAGCAAGCTCAGTTACAGGCAGAAATGGAAAAGAAATCTAGAAAAGTTCAGAAATTGCATCCTATGAATTCAGAAAACCAGAATATCGACTCTACAAATATTCAAACACATAGTGAAAATACAGATGTAGTATCGTTGACAAATAATATGGAATCAAAATTAAGAATAATCCAAAATTTGGAAGGTTGTATAAAAATATATTCAAATAATTATTGTTAATACTACTCTATTTTTCTTTATCTAATTTATGATTTATACTATATGTGTATTATTGATTTGCAATTGATAAAAATCATAAAACATATATTCAAATAGTTAATTTTTTAGTACTTATTTCATCAACTTAAAGCTACAGTATGAAAATTATACGGGAGTGAAATCTATGAAAATTAGCTCAAACCTACATGAGCAATATAAATTTTTCTAATTGGTTTAGATTTTTATAGAATATAGCTAAAACCACAAAACATTCTTTGTTCATTAAATGACTCTTTATACTAACTTTATTATTGTTATTTTATATAAATTTAACTTCCCTGTGATTAAAAATGCTTTTGTGTTAATTTTGCTCTAAATGCCAGTAAACTTTTTGCATCTTAGTGTCTTACTATTTCAATGTAATTTTCTTTTTATTATAAGAAAAGAACACAAGTACAATATTGTTCTAAGATAACTTCATTTTAAAACTATCTTTTTATAATTTTTATCATGTTCACAGATCCCAGCTGTGTTGATTCCTCTCTTAAAGATGATGACTTAATTCAAAATGAAACGAATTGTGATCCTTCTAATAAAAAAGATTTGGGTATTCAAACAGTGCCAATATCAGATAGCGAAAAAAGCTCTATATATGTTGTGGATAGAGTGTTAACTCCCTCAATATTTCGAGTAAGAGCAAGGGGAGGTTGTGGAAAAGACTTTGGAACACAGACTGACATTCATTATGGAAAATATCCAGTTGAAGATGCAGAGTCCACTGAGAGGTTTGTCATGCACTCCTTCTGGGCATTTTTCTCATTATTCATTTCATTTTACTTTTCTTAAAGCTTTTATTTGTTTTATAAAACTAATAATTTTGTTTGTGTGTAATTTAAACTATTTTTACTTAAGGGAACACCAGATATTTAATTTTTATTTGTTGTTAGCCTCATTTTTCCTGTATTAAATTATTAGGCTTATTAAAAAGACAGATAATTTGGTATTTAGTTGGATGTATGCTTTAGAGATTAGTTCGGGCTCACTTTTGGAGATTTGAGCCCATCCGGGATACATTGGATTACTTAGAGTCTGAGATATATGTCGAATAATTTCTTCTGTCCTTAGTATGCGGATAACTAATCTTTAAAAATATACATTAATAAATGAAAGCTGCATAATTATAGGTTAATAATATGCAAAATGCATGTGATATAAAATAAAAATTGTCGAGAAATGTTCTTCCTTTCTGTTGGAACATACTTTTGCAGACAAGGACTATGATATACTCGGAAGCTCTGCCTCTGCTAGCTAACACTCGCTAAGCCCCAATACAGTCAACTATGGATAATAATTAAGTTGTAATATGGCCAGTGGTTTAATAATTAATATATATATGAGTGTATTAATTCATTTTCATTGCTAGGCACTTTAATTAAACCCCATTTTTAGGGCACATTAATTTTTAACTCTTCCCCTCTTCAAGCTGAGATCAGTTAGCGGAATAGTTTTGTTTTTAAAAGACTGGAAAGCAGCGCCATTGTTACATGGATTGCCATTTCGCTCAGCCAGGAATGAATTTCCCCAATGGTCTGCAGCTAAAAAGCGGAGACCTTTAAGAGCACAGTTGCAAATGTTGGGGCGACGGTAAAATTTTTTTCCTTTGAGACATTCATATTAGTTTTTCGCTTGATGCAGGTGATATCAGACAAACTCATGCCACAGGGTGGCATTTTTTAGAAAAATGTTTTTACTCTCAGGAGGAACATTGTCGACTGAAGATCTAATATTCCCCCCCCCCCTTAAATTTAATTTATTAGCGCCTTAGTTTATATTATGCTTGAATTATATATGTATTGATTCTTAAATTTTGGCCATGTGTGCAAAACTTTTAACTAATTTGTTTGTATATTAAGCCATCCTTTTTCTTTATCACATACCAAGTCAACATCCTTACTTTTTTTAAAATCTAAATAGTCAGATTTGTCACAACAGGGAAAACCTGAGAAATACAGGAGATTTAAAAGTCACCTAAAATGACAGGGCAATGCCGGGAATTTTGAGCTTTCCCTTACTAACTGGGAAAATACAGGGAATTTTATTTCTTATTTTCTTCTTTTAAAAGTGTTTACCACTCAAAGCGATATTTAAGGATGATATTTCATCTATACTAAATTATTTTATTTACTATAGCATTACTTGGTTTAAGTATTTTAAACTGCTCCTAATTTCTTTAAGTTTTTCCTTCTTAAGTTTCTTTTTTCTTAAGCAATTAAAACTATTATTGCTAGATTGATCACTCAAGAGCGTAGTGATTGTGTGTTTCCTCTTAATATATTGTGATAATATGTACAGGGAAAGCACAGGGAATTTTTTTTCCAGATTTGAATGGCGACCCTGATAGTGGTGGGTTTGTATGCCTTTCAACTTTCATAGCAGTTAACTTTTAGCTTTCAGCCAAAGATTTTTTGCATTGCTAGTGGGTAAAAGAAAAATAATTTTTTTATTAGCAGTATTGTTTTTGTAATTTTTTTTAGCTCTCATAATTTATAGGTCCTTTACTATATACGTGTTTGAACCATTTGTATGGAAAACTATATTTTTTATGTTATGTTGTCCTTTTTACTAACAATTTTCATCCGAATTCCTTTTCTATTAAAGGGGTTTAGGAAGCTAAAATATTCTTAAAACTTTATCATGTGGGTACCACAGGATCAAACTGTTCTTTGGTGAAACAGAATTTGTGATTTTATGAAGTTTTGCTTTCAAGTTATATAGTTAATTAGAAATTCTAAATTGTTGAACTGAAGAGTTGTTTGTTCTAAGAGTTTTTTTAAAATTGCATTTTATAGTACATATTTAGATTTAGCTTTAGCTTCTAGCCATAAATTAAAGGCTTATTTTTACATTAACAGCAGTTGAATAATAAATATGTTATTGTCATTAGTTTTTATTGAGTGTGAGCTTAAATTAACTTTTCAAATTACTTTTTGAAGCTATGAAAAATAATTAAATTTCCAATTGAACTTTTTTACTTTAGTTGTTTATTCTTATTTATTGCCTTTAAATTGAGGTTACAAAATATGTTTATTTTCAGTAATACCAGCTCATTCCACAGTCCAGTTGCAAAACGAATAGTACGTGTGCAGCATAGCAAGCCTTACAAAGCTCAACGTCGGCCATTGTGCAATGATTCCATTCCTGTAAATGAACGCCCTAAATGGGGTGTGAATCAACCCTCTAAATCATATGTTAGAATGACTGATAGAGATCCCCATTTTACTAAACGGAAGAGGATGCAAGAATTAAGAAAGCAACATTGGGCCCGAGAACTTGCAGCACAGAAATCCACCGATTCTTCACATCAACCTATTGCTCCCTATTCCAATTTAAGAGGTCGTAGGGTTGCCAGTAGTTCAGATTGTACTCTTGGATACAGCAGTTCTGAATTTGAAACAAGGTATTTTAAAACCTTGAATAAACCTTGATTATATTCTAACTGAAGAAATATTGAATATATTTGTATTCTTTTTAGCAAAAAATGTTTTTAAGAAATGAAAATACAGTCGAACCCTATATAGTGAACCGTCTGCAGACTCAGTAATGTGTCCACTATAACCGATGGTTTACTATATCCAAATTTTTTGAGGAATATTTTTTGCATAAGACAGTTGAATGAATGAAAATTGGCTTTGCAATTTTGCATAAGTTGTTTAAAAAATTATTAACTAATTAACAGATAATAAAGCAAAAATTCATGGAAAAAGTAATTACGTCGCTAAATATTAGTTTTATTTTCACTTTTTATGAAAAAAATTTGTGATTTTTGATTGAACACAATTTGATTTTAAATTGAGTTCATCAATTTTCTTATCTACAATGTGCAAAGAATGCAAGATTTTTACATTTTGAACAAGATTTCGAACCATCTTAACAAAGCATCTTCTACGTTTTCTCTTTCAGCTCCACGCAGTTTTTTCGATGAAACCATGTTTTTGTCGTATGCCGCAAGAATTGCACTTCGATTTTTCCAAATGTTTGAAACTGTAGATTTTGACAAGGAAAATTCCTTACACAGTGTCGATTGATTGGTTCCATCATCAATACGCTTTACAATTTTAACTTTGTCCTCTATCGAAAACGCTTTTCTCTTTAGAGAATTTGCCATTTTCACTGCTTTTGAAATAAAAATCTTGTCTCAAATAGATAATGTAAGAATATGAAGAGAGCAGCTGTAGAATGAGTTAAATTGTTCCCCTTCTTGATTGTCAAGGGGTGATTTGTAAAGAATATGGTTTGAACAGAGAAGAAAATTCCAAAAATTCAGCAGGTGGCCATGTTAACTAGTTGTAGAGCAAGCTTGTCAGGGAGGGGGGAGTATAAGATAAATGATCTCTTTGACATTTATTACAGTATAGTTAAAAGTGATAAGCATAAAGAAGAGTAATATGACACATTTTATAGGACTGCATTCATTTTCAGTCCCAACACCTACAAGTTTAAAGATGGAGGACTGAAAAAGATATTTAAAGAAATGAAATTTGAGTCCACTATAACCGAGTTTCCAAGTTCTAAGCTGTTCACTATAAGCGTTAAAAATAACATTATTTAAATAGGAATACGGACGGGACCGCTAAAAAAGTTCACTACATCCGAGTGTTCACTATATCCCATATTTATATTTGAATTATTGTTTAGCAATTCTTATATTTTAAAAAGTAAAATATCATTTTTCAAAAAAAAAAAAGAAAAAAAAAAACACTAGTTATAAGTTTTTGAAAATATATTTTGTTTTTACTGCATTGTATTTTACTCTTTTCACTGCATAGCCTAAAAGCAATTCTTTTTGAAAAATAGTTCCTCTTCTTATTCATATTCACTTGAATAAATAATACATTACTTAGGATGTGTAAAGATAAAGTAGTTACACATGTGGATTAATATACATATTTATTGGATGCATGTACGTCTGATGAACAATTTGATTTGAATTTTGATTAATAGAACAAATGTACAGCTTGAAATAACATCAATAAAATATTTTGAGATTTTCCACATATATCTAATAGCGGACAAAACAACTTTATCTAGATAAAATTAACATATTGTAAGGACAACATTATTTTAAACACATCAAATAAACTTAATTGCTGTTAATCAAGCTACGAGATTACTCCACATTCTTATTGTGAAGTGCTTTTGAAGTATTGCATGGTCGAATTTCTTCAAAAAATGCAGCAAAAAAGAAAAGCAGTCATTCGTCTTGTTCTTCAAGCAATGAACATTGCCTCAATATCTTTAATTGATGCAAGGGAAAAATATGAAGTAACTATTTTAATTAAAGAAGGAATATTTGACCATAATGATTGATGGAAAAAATTGGCTGTTATCAATAGAAAGATTAAATTATTGTGCGAAACAGGTGATGTTAGAGGAGAAGGGTTACATCAGGCTGAAAGATGATTACCATTATAACTCCAACTAGAACAATAACCTACAACTTTATTCTATTATAAGAAATCATGTGTAACAAACATATATTATTAAAAAAGGGAACCAATGGTACCAATATGTGAAGGAACCAATCGATAAACTAGGTTCAAGCACCCTACATACTGTGATGGAAAAAACCGATCAAATTGGTTTGAGTACTGAAGAGTCGCTGGTTGTAATCTTCTATGCTGAATCTGAAATGAACTGAATTCAATTTAATGGTATATGCATATATATATATATATCTGCAAAAGCTTTTTTTTTCTCTCTTAATTTCTTTACCTTATATTTATTAAAAGTTAAGTTTTAATTTAGAGTTTCAACCTTTATCTTTTGCAATAGTTATACTATTTCAAAGAGCACACAACATTGTCACTAAAAACACTTTTCCATATGTGATGCTACTTTATATATATACAAGGTGTTGAAAGAAATTCAACTGGCTAACACAAGGAGGTGATAAAGTGCTCTAAGAGAATGAAAATGTATTATAGAAAATGAAATCATTAACCACATTGAGATGGGGAAAAATACTGAGAGACCCTGAATCTAAAAGATATGAAAGGTAGCGCCAGCATCAGCCAGAGAGTTAGGTGACCGAGGCAGTGGCCTTACGCCTCTCACTCCTGTTAAGAAGTTTTTTTTTCTTCCTTTCAGTAATTTTGTTGTATTATTTTAGAAAAGTACTTTTTATCAATTTTTTTTGAGGTTTAAATATTTTTAATAATTTATGAGTAAAATATGCATGCGAAATTTCATAAAAATTAAATGACAAAAAGAAAGAAGAAAACTAAATTTAAAATAGTAGCTTTAGGCCATATATTTTTAGTTTACATAAATAAAAGCAGTAAATTCTTGTCACTTTTTTCTTTTATTCATTTAACGGTAGTCTAAGGGAATGGATTGGATGCATGGGTTCTGTTGCATGGCCTTCATGTTTGCTGGATCTTAATCTTCTGGATTTCATAAGGGGTAAACTTAAATTACTAGTTGATGCAACATTTCGGGACATCATAGGACATAGGGGAGGGTGTTTAGAGTATATTGTCATTGCTTTTGCAGACCATCTAAAGTACACCTGACTTGTTATCTGAGGAATGGTATTTACATCATTGTAGACTATGCATCGATGTCAACTGGCATCACTTTAAACTACTCTTTTAATTATGAATAAAACTTTTATGTGGTTTTTCACTGTGACAATAAAATGTGCATGTTTTTTTTTCTTTTCAATTTTCAACACTTTCCCAAAGTGATTTGCGATCCCATGTGGGTAAATGTTCTTCCTCTTCATGACTTTTATTATCCCATATAAAAATGATGATGTTCAACAAAAAGCCTTGTTTATTTGTAAATGGATGTGTAAACAGAAGCAAACTGTGTAAAAATTAAGTTTTACAAATCAATAAATTTTAGAAAAAGGGGAAAAAAAAGGCAGTGAATGTCTGAAGAAATGAATGTCCATAGAATATTCAGCCAGCTTTTAAATTGATTAACTGGTTATTTTAAGAAGTACATTTGTTAGTCTATTTTTTTAAAAACTTTATACTGTAGGTTTTCCAGCATTAAAAAACTGATTTTTCCTATGTTTTAGTATTGGAAAGTAGTGTATAGTAGAAAAATGACATGACAAATTTGCTAAGGTCCTTGGATGACTAAAAGCCTTCTCTTATTAAAGGCTAAACTAATTATAATTTAGAGTCAATTATAAATTTAGGTATAATGCTTGCTTAAACAATTTCAACAAGTAAATGAAAAAAAGTACTTGAAGTATAAAGTAGAGAATCTAGAGATAGAAGTTTAGATAGCAATTACGGGAAAGTACCTATCTATAGTTTGAATAAAGATTAAGCTCTATGGAATATTTAAATGAAAGTTGATTTTCTGATGACTTTACTGTATATACTTAACTAGTTTAAATTCTGTATTCCTCTCATAGGTCTTATCGTCAAATTAGAAGTAATTCTACTCCTCGTTATCAACAACCATCTGGATTCCGTTCTGATTGTGGTTCTGCTGAAACTATTGCTTACTTTAACTACAGCCCATCAACTCATGCCAATCATCTTTCACAGTCATATCTTCAGCGTAGAGACTCAATTAGTTCAGACAATCTTCCATCTATTATTGGTGGCTCTGAACCATCACCAACACGGCACGCAGAAAGGTTCTCTATACCATCATGTGGTGGGGGAAGTCTTCCACCAATGCGTCGCAAATGGCATAGTCAAGAAATATTCCACCCGTCCAGTAACTGTCATGTTTTTTCACCCCCTCATGTACCTGGAGTGTATCCCCGTTTGCTTTGTCGCCCTTTTCATTGTAACTTACCACCACCTGTTGCACCACAACGAAGAAAATGGAGTGATCAGGAAAGTTTTGATTTGGAAAGTGTTGTGCGTTCGAGAGTAGCTGATGGTAGTCGAGCATCCTCTGCTGAAAGTACTGAGAAGAGTGATGCTGCTTCTGTGTCTTCAGCTACTAGTTCTGCAAAGTCAAAATCTTCCGTCCAGGTATTTGTTTAACACTTTTGTAGTAGATTTTCAATTAACTGTAATCATATTATCTTAGTTTCTAATTATCTAAGACACTTACCTCCAAAAAAGGCATTCTTAACAAAACATGAGGTAAACTTCACTTCCATTTTTATTTTTGTTATCCTACTACAAGTAAATGTAATTCTAAATAATGCCAGTAAAAGCACAACACACTAAAAGCTAGCAAAAAAAAAAAGGATTTTCTTAAAATGAATTGTGCATTGATTGTTTTTGCACTTTTATCATATAATGTTTATTACTTCTTACATTATCCATAACTTGTACTCAGAAGATGAAAGTAAATTATCCAAATATGATTATGTTTTGATTTTTTTAAACTAGATAAATATAGTTTAATCTACGTATAGGATTTTAAAAAAATGAATCTTTTTCACAAAATAGCAGTATTTTGAAAAAAATTCAAATTATGACATAAATTAAGTAATAACAATCATACATTTTCAATCCCCATAGTTAATTGCAAGTCTACGGGATTTTTGAAAGAATTTCAACTATGTTTTTAATTGTACTTAATAAATCTCTTTTCAGAATCCTTTAGTTTGCCCAGAAGTTGTTACTGGTAGACCCACTCCACGTCAAGATAGAATTTTACAGAACTTATCCTCTTTAAGACAGGTAAGGTGTTGATATTTGATAACAGAATTGAACATTAAAGTTTTCTTTCTTTCTTTCTTTGGTATGCAAAAATTTTGGTATTTATGAATTTTTTTTCTGAAATGAAATTAAAATTAAATCAGACTTTGACCTTCTAATGATAAATATGCTTTCCTTTATTGTGGAGCTATGAACTAAGTGTTGTTTAAAAAATAAAGATTATTTTTCAATTTACAAGTAGAACTCAAAAAACTAAAATTTTTATTATTTCTATATATGTTTGTAAATCAGGACCTTCACAGTACATAATTTTAGTTGCTAGAGGCATCTATTGTCGTGAAAATGAACCATAATCAATTATATGTTTTGTAAATTTTGTAATTATAAGTTTTTATTGAAATTTTTAATAAGTATGACATATATTTATATACTGTAAGGTTATATTTTTCACGTATTATTTGATTTCATTTTTGCATTTTCATTTTAGTATACTTTGAAAAATGCACATCATTATTTTTTTCTATAATTGTTTTATTCTTTTACAGGGCTTGCTTAAGAAACAGAAGGAATTAGAAAGTTTAATTAGACGGCCACCACCTTTTTATTCTTGATGTAAAATTTATATTTTACCTAAAGAAATAACTGTATTTTAAAGTGTACAGATGAGAAACTAGTTATAAATAAGCTTTATTTCATTTTACATTCTAGTCTGTTTAAATACTTCATTTATTTTGTTAAAGAAACAAATATAACTGGTGATACATGAATAGAATTAAGTGTTTCATAATATCGTTTCTCTATGTTTCACTTATTTATTTCTTTTTAATCCAGTCATTATTAAACTATAAATTTTTGAATTTATTCATTTTAATTCATGTTTATATGTTGATTTTAGTATGTACCTCAGATGTATTCCATATTTCCATGACACTCAGAATTGTATGAATAAAAACTACAGATATTACTTTTCTAATAACTGTACTTATATAAATAATTTTAATTTAAAATAATTTTGATCTTATATTAAAAACACAAGTTTTTTTTGTTTTTAAAGTTTTTTTAAAATTGATTTATTGGAAAATTATAGTTATTTGATTGTTAACCCTTGAATAAATTAATAGTGATAAATTTTGTTATTTATATATTTTTTTAATCAATGTATTCTTGTGAATATTTAATTTGATTTGAATATTGCATATTTGAATATTAGGAAGACATTGGAAAAATATAGATTAATCGAATAAATATAAACTTTCATTTTTTGGAAATAACAAGAATTGATTTTTTATGCATAATGTTAATGAAATAAAAGTTAATGACAGTTTCATACATGACTGAAAATATAGAAAAGTTAATTATACTTGCAATCTACAATTTTACATAATATTTGAGCATGTTTTTCTGTTGAGTGTAACCTATTGTTATTCGTTAAATTTCGAAAATTTTTATTATTGTATAATCATTGATTTCAGATAGTTTCTTTTAATTTGTACTTCTTAACTCTTTGCTTTTAATATATAACATGAAAGGTAAAATTTAATATAGATAAAAATTTACTCTGACCTGCTACAAAAAGGCATTTTAAAAAAAATAGAAAAAAAAGTCATATCATTACAAAAACAAAAATACAAAAATGTAAATGCAAAAGCATGACAAATTTTGAAATAATATATTAAAAAACTCAGCGGCGCGGCAGCCCATAGAGGGCCAAGGCCTACTGTGCCCATCTCAATTTTCTTGGCCTTGGGCTCTGGGGTGCAGAATCAGATGTTCCGGTTAGGTGGTCAGCCGAAGGCGGAACCCCCAGTGTTTAGTTCCCCAGCATGCTTGGTACTCATTTATCGACCCACTGAATGGCTGAGTCAACCTTGCCCGGCCCGAGGATCGAACCAGGGACCTGTGGCACGACAGCGCAAAGCGCTACCTCTCAGCAACCGGGCATCAAAATAATATATTGCTTATTTTAATTAAACAATTAATTGGTCAAAAGCATTATTTGTGAATTATATAAACTTTACATATTGTTTATACTATTTTTTTCTGAGTTTGATAATTTTGCTGAAATTAAGTTTGAATCAATATTATACCAGTTTCAAATTGTATTATTTTCATTTAAGTGTTAGTTTTGAAGTGTATTAGTTGCCAGTTTTTAAGTTTATGAACTGTATTGTCAGTTTTAAAGTAAAATCTGCCTTAAGACTTAATGGCAGATTTTATCACCTTATCAGAAATTGATTTTATATTATCTTTCTTTGATTTATCTGCAAACTTAGATTTATCTAGTATAAGTACTTTTACTTTACTTTTTAAAATTTTGTTGTCACATTTGTTTGTGATTAATGTTTGTCTAGTTGAATTCAGCCAAACATGATTTTTACATATGATTGGATATTTTTGTTGATAGTTGTAGACAGTTATAAAAATTCTAGTCATGTTAGTCTAATTAGTATTAATTATTTATGAACATGATTTGTTACTTCTGTTTTTACAATTTATTTATTTTATTTAATTTTTTATAACTTTTATTTAGCTTATCAAATGTAATTTTGTCAGTGGATAAAAGGAAATCGAAAAGAGAGTTGGATGAAATTTTTTTTTAAGAAATGAATTAGTTAGCAAAAGACATCATTGTTTATTATTAATTGAATTTTATCATGCCCAGATTGGATTAAAGATGCAACATTTATTTCTTTATATACAGATTATGCTACAAAATACAGCTGAGGTTAACAATAAATAATGATGAAGTTAAAAAAAATAATGTATCAGGATAGAAAAAAAGTATGACTTAATAAACTAAAGAACATTTCAATATAATAATTCGCTTTTATTTATTTGTAGACTTAAAAGTTTTAATAAAAGTTGAGTGAGAAATTTTTTTATTTTAATATAGATCTTGAGTAATAAATTGCATATGTTTGAAGTAATTAAAGTTATAGAAATCAAATACACTTCTTTAATGTTTTTACTCGAAAAACAAAATAAAAAATATTTTGATTTTGGATTAGATTTCTTTAAAGGAGAAGTTAAATGTTTTTTTAAATATAGTTTTGGTAGTGATATATAGTGAATGGAATAGAGGTTCTCTTCAAAGAAAGAACCGTATTTTTTATTTTATTAAAGTGTTCAAATTCTTCCAAATTAGGAATAAATTTTGTATAAATATCTTTTAAATTTATTAAGATTAACAAAAATACTGATTATTTTGAATTATTAATTTAAAATTATTTAAAATGTAAATTTGTACTCATAACTTTCACTATAAAGGAGCCTATGTTTAATATTGTTTTAATGATATTTTTTTAAATGTTTTAATATTAAATCATATTTTTATTGATAGATATTTTATATTTTGTTAATTTGTTTCAGATTCCATGAAATATAATAAGTAAATTCCTGTTTTTTTCAAATTAAGAATTAGAAATATTTTTGATGTGTTGAATTGTTGAACGCCAAATTAATGACAATCGGTTTTGAATTTATTTTTGATTTTTTACATTTTGTATTTGCACCTCAACGAATCTAAGTATTTTGATATAGCTCTCATGTTTAATTTACGGGTGGTATCTTTACATATGCATTTATAGGATTGCACATTGGAAGATAGGTCTACAAATTTAAATAAAATTTTTGATGAATATTGTTGCATTCCATACTTTCATTATTTATTATAAAGCTTTTCTTCTATTAAAATAAGAATTAATAATTTTCTCCTAATATGCTATAGATACTTCACTTATGACTTTTATTTATATCTTACTATTATGATTTTATCGGGAAATATTAAAAATATTGTTTTTAATCTGTTTTTATTTTTAAAATTTTTTATAACTAGTTTATAAACTTTTTTTTCCCATTTTATTTTCAATCGCTATTCCAATTTAGAAGGATTAAACAAATTATATCTTCAGATATTTATTTATACACAATTTTTCTTGAAAATTGTTTACAAGTTTGTTGAGTTTTATATGATTATTATTAAAATTATTAACTCCAAGTACTGAGCTATTTATAAATGTTTGGTAGTTATTTTCTGAAAAAAAAAAGCATTTTTAAAGGAAATGTGTAAGAGTAAAATATATTTTGTGGTATAACAAAATATTGTAAATGTATATATGGAACCAAATATATCCTAAAAGCAATGTTTAAACTTTTGTATGTTTATATACATGTTTCGTTTTGTAAGCTTCTGTGATACAGTCCTAGTCGTTTAATGAAGCGTGCCTTGCATAGTATGTAGATTTAATCATTCATTTTATTATCGTTTTAAAATTTAAAGAATTTTGTTGAGGATTTCCTTGTGCAATATTTAAAGCTTTTGTATGTATGTCATGAAATGTTGTGATATTAAAGTTTATAAAAATTGATCTACTTGATTTATTCTTTATTTATGTTAAACACTAGAAGGGGCCATGTTGGCGATGGGATCCCAGTGGTAAGAGAATCGGACTCCGATCTGGAGAAGCAAGGGATTGATGCTAGACTCCGCTGAAACTCACTGAGTACGTGCAATATAGGTGCTTGAAAAATCTGTGGAATTAAAAGTTCTGTGGTCGGTTGCTGAGTAATAGCAAGGGATCGGGAAAAAATTTCCTTCCCCTTCAGATCTATGTTTACATTAAGGAAGTGGCTTTACAAATGGGATCCCTTTTTGCTGAGGATTCATCTTCGGATCATACTCAGGAATACTGACTGTCGCCAATAGCCTGTAGTGCAGCTCTAGTGCGACGTACATGAAGTACCCACCTATATACCTTAACACTGGAAAATGGAGGAGTTTGGGTAGCTTTTCTCTCGTTTTTCAGTGTTCAGATATTCCAAAAATAATTAAAGTAGCGAAATTTTAAGACTTTTCATAATATTATCCTATTTAAGTGCTTACAAATTTGTTTTTAGCATAATAGAAACATAAATATTGAAACTTATACCTTGAATGACTGTAGGAGCCACGTTGGTATGGCTGTAAGGTATTATGCTATATCAAATATAGCAAAATGCCTTTGCTATATTTTGTTTCTCGGAATCGAAAGACGCATTTATTGTATTAAATTATAATTTTTGATTTATCAGCTATAAATGTGAAAATTTTATATGAGCGGACCGGGACGAAGGAACTCGTCCGTAGAAATTATAGCTTACAATTATGTGAAGAGTTCATTTCTCCAGATCTGGCATCAAAAAATGCAGCTGAAACAGTAGAACCAAAGAAGCTAAGTGTAAACAGATGTGACAACACTCTCAAAAAGAGAATTAAGTGCTATGTTATAGAAAAATAGCGTAGTACAAATACTTGTATTGCAGCAATGTTTTAAAAGAAATTCAGCGTATTGATTATTATGAAAACTGTAAAAAAATTTTAATTCTGACTAAAGTAAAACATTTTCACTTCCATTAATTGAAAAGGAATATGTCAGTTTATTTTTTTATAATCTATAACTGCCATAATTTATTAAGAGTACAAGTTGCATTATCTTAACAAAAAGATGTTTTTTTTTAAAAAGTCATAAATGTTCCATTTAATCTGATGTTTTTGTTATTCAAATAGAAAAAAAAATCCTAGACATTTCTAATGATCAAATATATTTAATATGCTATTATTATTTTTTTTTTCTAGATAAATACTTCAGATTTATACTCACATAATCTAAGGGCCGTACTGGACCTTGCAGTTATTCTAGGAATATAGCACAGAGTTGCCACAGGCGACTAAATTGCAACTATTTTCGTGCAAAACATGTAATGGCAACTTTTACTATGACAACTTTTTTTTGCCTGAAAGGGTTAAAAAAAGCAACTATTTTCAGGAAAAAAACCAAAAAACAGACTTTTCCTTACTCTAGATGTTTTTTTTAGCATAGCATAAATTGGGTTAAAAACCTGCGGCACGCGAGAGCTTTTGAACACACAAAATTTTTTTCTTTCTTAAAAAATGAAAAATTTTGAAAATTTCGAATTGCAAATTTGAGTAATCACTTTTTAATTTGTTCAATTTGCACAGAATCCATTTTAATTCT